GAAGCGTATAAGCATATGGCATACCAAAAAAATAAACGCAATTAAGCTGGAGTGCTTACCCAACCCCCATGAGTTGTAATCCAATCTCTAAGGTGAGTATTCACGAATGAAGACGTAACCGATGTTAGCGTATCGACTTCTGAAGCAAGTTTAAGGGCAGCAAGTTGGTCAATCAGCAGATGAAAAAACGCCAGCATTCCGACTATATGACCCCAGTTTATATCAGAGAAAAGATTAGTCAAAACCCCCTCATAAAACTCAACGAACTCCTTTATGCTAAAATTCTCGGGATTAATATGAATAGTCTCAGCCAATGACTTAGGATCAAACCGCTCCTGATAACGTCGACTGAATTCTTGAACCAACCTCACAATAGCGGTCAGTAATTCACTCTTATGGGGCTTTTCCAGGTCTTGTCGTCTCGGAGATTTGTTATCGATATCTAAGCGGGTTGAAGCAAAACCACGAATAAGATTGCAAGACTGCTCTGTAAATAAATCTAAAGAATTCTGTGAAGTTCCACCTAAAAATGGAAAATTCCATTATTATCTATTTTTAAAAGAATAAAGACAAGCAGCAATACAATAAACTTCGCTGCATAGAGGAAGATTGATGGAAATGGGAGACATTACCACAGTCCATATCAAGCAGGTGAGAGACAATTGTGAAAAGAAATGCGCTGGAAGGCCAGGCGTTAAGAGCATGCTGAAAAGCTGAATCTTATACATATTAATTTCAATTAGAATTACGTTAAAATAATAACATGAGTATTAGTAATAATAATGATCAACCGCAAACTTAACAGTTCTTTTAAAATTGCCTATTGTTTTTTAAATTATTCTAAAATCAATCAATAATATAACTTGAGCTTTTGGTGTTATTGTCTTTTTCTAATGTCGCGGCTTTTCGTCTGTTCTGATTCTCCGCCTTCGTGTTTGCGTGTATTTTCATTATTTCCGTATATACACTAGCCCTTTAGTCCAGGAAGCATTGTTAAAAGAAACATGAGCTTTAAATGTCTAGCGTAAGTCTTTGGGATCAAGAAGCATACAGCTTACGACTCAACCATACTCGTAATCCATGAACACCATTTGTTCCTTTTAGTCAGGCAGATGCCCAAAAAATCGATAAAGAGCTTTTCTAAACTTACTCCTTCTCTGTCGACCAACTTATGGAACTTGCTGGTCTCAGTTGTGCTTGTGCTATCTATAAGATATGTTTCATAACAGATATGATGCCTCGTTGAATTTTTTGTTATGCCAAATTAATTCTGTATATTATACTAGCATTAAATCGACGTAGGAATATCGATAGCTGAGTTTTTAGTTTTTAATTTCAACAATTGATGAAGATGCTGAAAATTTTTATTGATGTGTTTTTACTATCCCTTAATTATGACCGACCAGATCCATTTTCTGAATCTTTGACTTTTAATCTATGAAATTTTCTTGCGAAGCAGTTAATGCGTATTTTTTTGCCCTACTAT